TGATCTTAGAACCTGAGATCGCCCGTAGGCTAGGTTCTTCCCATAGATCATTTTAGAACCTGAGATTGCCCGTAGGCTAGGTTCTTTCCTTAGATCATCGTCGAACCTGAGATTACCTTATAGCTAGATTCTTTCCTCATATCATCTTAGAACCTGAGATCGCCTTTTGGCTAGGTTCTTTCCTCAGATCATATTAGAACCTGAGATCGCCGGTAGGCTAGGTTCTTTCCTTAGATCTTCGTCGAACCTGAGATCGCCTCTTGGCTAGGTTCTTCCTTAGATCATCGTCGAACCTGAGATCGCCCGTAGGCTAGGTTCTTCCTTAGATCATTGTCGAACATGAGATCGCCCGTTGGCTAGGTTCTTCCCTTAAATCATCATCAAACCTAAGATTGCCCGTAGGCTAGGTTCTTTCCTTAGATTATCTTAGAACCTGAAATCACCTTTTGGCTAGGTTCTTTCCGTAGATCATCTTAGAACCTGAGATCACCCGTAGGCTAGGTTCTTTCCTTAGATCATCGTCGAACCTGAGATTTCCAGTAGCCTAGGTTCTTCCTCAAATCATCTTAGAACCTGAGATCGCCCGTAGGCTAGGTTCTTCCTCAGATCATCTTAGAACCTGAGATCGCCTTTTGGCTAGGTTCTTACCTCAGATCCTCTAAGAACCTGAGATCGCCCGTAGGCTAGGTTCTTTCCTTAGATGATCGTCGAACCTGAGATCACCCGTAGGCTAGGTTCTTCCCTTAGATTATCGTCGAACCTGAGATCTCCCGTAGGCTAGGTTCTTTCCTTAGATCATCTTAGAACCTGAAATCGCCTTTTGTCTAGGTTCTTTCTGTAGATCATCTTAGAACCTGAAATCGCTCGTAGGCTAGGTTCTTCCCATAGATCATCTTATAACCTGAGATCGCCATTTGGCTAGGTTCTTTCCTTAGATCATCTTAGAACCTGAGATCACCCGTAGGCTAGGTTCTTTTCTTAGATCATCGTCAAACCTGAGATTGCCCGTAGGCTAGGTTATTCCCTTAGATCATCGTCGAATCTGACATTGCCCGTAGGCTAGGTTCTTCCCATAGATCATCTTAGAACCTGAGATAGCCTTTTGGCTAGGTTCTTTCCTCAGATCATCTTAGAACCTGAGAACGCCCGTAGGCTAGGTTCTTTCCTAAGATCATCATCGAACCTGAGATCGCCCGTAGGCTAAGTTCTTTTCTTAGATCATCGTCGAACCTGAGATCGCCCGTAGGCTAGGTTCTTCCTTAAATCATCTTAGAACCTGAGATCGCCCGTAGGCTAGGTTCTTTCCTCAGATCATCTTAGAACCTGAGATCGCCCGTAGGCTAGGTTCTTCCTCAGATCATCTTAGAACCTGAGATCGCCTGTAGGCTAGGTTCTTCCTCAGATTATCTTAGAACCTGAGATCACCTTTTGGCTAGGTTCTTTGCTAAGATCCTCTTAGAACCTGAGATTGCCCGTAGGCTAGGTTCTTTCCTCAGATCGTCTTTGTACCTGAGATCGCCCTTAGGCTAGGTTCTCTGTCAAATGAATCTCATGTTTCATCTTAGGATTGTAGGTCGCCCGTAGACCTTGTACGCTGTCTTTTCATACCAACCTTTGCCTCGTATTGGCATCATGCCACGTTACAAGCCCGATCTCTTTCTTTTCACTAAAAAAAAAATTCTTCCCCCAGCAAATAAAAAAAACACTTATACTCTCTCTTAGGACAAAATTTTGGCATTGGTATTTAATCATCTTCAACCTTGAACTTCCGAAAGGCATGCACCAATCGTACTTTCAGGTTTAAGATGATTAAATAGAGGCAACTGTAATACCCAAAATTTGTCCTACCCTTTTACTTTTATCTGGCTTATGCATTGTCGCGCTTTTCTCATGTACATAACTCCATTAGGTCATTTAACATTACATACATTTACTAACAACATAACTTGGCAAGGGGTCGAGAACCTTCAGGAATTAGGGTTTCAATATCGGTTTTTCAGTAGAGATTGGTTTGAGCTAGGGTTTGGGTCTTCTTCACTATTTCGAGCCTCATCATCCATCTCCAAGAGTTCTTTAAGCCAGTTATATTGTGGGCTCTGCAAGTCAAGTTATCTTTGAAGATTGAGGTGCAAAAGTTTTGAGTTATGACACAAAGATGTTATTGTGGAATCATATGGTGATCAAGATGTTGTTGTTATTTGTTGCTTCTAGTACAAGTCATTCAATTGTATTTCATTCAGGATACTCTGCATTATGTATGGAAATTCATAAGGACCAGGGTTTGAGAAGCAGTGTTTGTGTTGCAATCACCACTTGGATTGGGGTTCTTTTTAGTGCGCTTATGTTATCAAGTGAATTCGGTTCTGTTTAGCCATAACTATCATATGGTTTGGTTCAACTTATTGAGGTCTCACTTGGTTCCTATCATCATTTGAAGTTTGGTTCAATTGAGTTTATTATCATCAATTCAAAGATTGGTTTAAAACATTTACTTTGGATCTTATGCAAATATTTGAGGTTTTACATGGAGTATTTTGGGGATCTTTTCAAAGAAGGAAGTCATTTGTGCGAGCCTTGACTCTTAGTCACAGTCAACCATGAAAGGTGGACCTTTGACCAATGTATTTTTGGTCACTTTCGGTTTTCATCTCGTGGTTTATCTAAGTGTAGCATGGCATGGCATAAAGTACAAATGGGAGAAGACTTGAGATTCTAAATGAAACAACAATGGATGGAAAACAACTCAACTTGATTCAAGTTTTGTTTATTACAAATTCAAGGATGCATTACAACTTTGACCAAAATCCTTACATGTTTAAATAACTCCAAATCAAAGTTTCTATTACAAAAACCATTTCGAGTCATATTCAACATCACTTGCAAATCCAATTACAATTACATTAAACCAAAGATATCACAAACAAACAAAATTTAGGTACTGGCAGTAAATGATAAGTTCCTCTTCAAAGTCAAAAATGGCACTTGTTTCGGATTCCTTGATACTAAGATGGATAACACTTGATAATGCTCTTCCTCGGGTGTAATAAGAATTGATGCTGCAAGTAAAGAAAACATGATTGCCATCTTTAATACCTACACATAATCAAATAAACCATAAACATAAATCAGACCATTTTGCAACCTAATCATATACTTAGGGCTATGCTGAAGTAGTTCATTGTTTTTACAAGCCTGCATAAATTGAGACTTATTAGCTAAACTACAATTCTGAACCAGCGGCACGATATCTTAAAGAAGAAACAAAGATGCTGGAAGAAGCTTTGGCAAAACGAAACAGTGAATTGCAGGCTTCATGGAGTATGTGTACTAAAACACTTAGCAAACTTCAAACTTTGGAAGCACAAGTTCAGCCAAGTATTCATCAAAAGGGATCTCCAACATCTACCACTCATATGAACCATGAAAGCTTTATAGCCAAAGTACAGGCTATGCACCAAGCATGATCTCTATATCGGAAGATGGCAATGATGATGTAAGAAGTTGTGTTGAGTCTTAGTCTACGACATTAATCTCTGAGGTATCCCAATTCACAAAGGAAAAGAATGCTGATGAATTGGGAAAATCTGAAGCGACTGAGAAGTTGGATCTGATGGATGACTTCCTAGAGGTCGAGAAATTTGTTGGATTATCGAACAATTCTATTGAAGATGCTTCTGCGTCATTTACATCAAACAATAACAAGGATGAAATCATGACCAATGAAGTATCCAAAGTTAGTACTAGCAAAGATGATCCCTCCGAGTCTGAAAAGAATAGTGATTTAAATCCATAGGCAATTCAAGTGTCCCCTGCTGCAGTATCACCCAACTCCGATGGGATATATGGCTTATCACCAGCAGAACTTCAATCAAGAATACAATCAGTTTTTGAGTCCGTGGCTAAGGATGCTAATGTGGGTCAGATCCTGAAGGATATTAAACATCTTCTTGAAGACGCACGTGTTCTTGAAGATGCACATGATATATCCATCCAAGACTTTGTTGCTGTCACTCCCCATGATATCCCGCCTTATGATATTCCATGTGATAAAAAGGATAATTCTAAAGATGTTGGTTCAGTTGCAGAAAAAGAACTCATTTCATCCCAAGAACCTACTCAATATATACAAATAACTTCTGATATAGAAGCTGCAATTTCTAAAATTCATGACTTCATATTGTTCCTAGACAAAGAAGCAATGACAGTTCATGACATATCTTCTGGTGGTGATGGGATAAGCCAAAAGATGGAGGAGTTCTCTGTTACTTACAATAAAGTCAAATGCCATGAAGCAAGTTTGTTGTTGTTTGTTCTTGATCTGTCTCAAGTCTTAGCTAAAACAAGTGAATTCAGATTTAATATCCTTGGTTATAAAGGCTTACTAACTAAAACTAACAGAATTCAATAACAACCTCTAACCTCTCAGAACTTCTAACTAATTCAATATTGATTCCTAACCAATCTCTAACAGTCCTAACCAACTTTCTATCCAAGGACCTGGATTGATTCAATCTGTAACAAACTTTTGGAGATCTATAACAGAAAATGATAATAGGTTCAGAGAGGGGGGATGGACATGATACATTCATTCATAGTACAGAAAAAACTCACCAAGAACAATCTCAAGGATCTCAAGAGATTACCTCTCAATTTCACTAGTCTTCATCATCCGCTCTTCGATTCTCCATCAACAATCTTCATCTTTCTCTCTAAATCACAACTTCACAACAATAACTTTTCATCAGATTTTTTCTTCAATCTTCTGTAATATTCTTGTGTTCACCATCACCATCAATACTTCTCAGTTTTTAATCTTCACCATGTGAAGACCTACAATAGCCGCAAGAAGCTCCTTCAATCTTCAACAATCAACTAAATCAGCTTCATCGCAAATCAACGTTCATTCTCGATTGTAACTGCAACAATGCTATTCCATTAACTTGCCTCTCCATCATGTTGTAGCGACGATAAACAACAGCCACTGCAATACGCAACTTCATTCAACTGCATCAACAATACGTAGTTTCAGCATTAATGCGTCATCATAACATAAACAGAAAAGAAATCAGAGGAGAAATCACATAGTCCAGAATGCACAAGATTGATATTGTTACCAGAAATTCGCAGCAGATTCTTTTTTTTCACCAAACAAGAGCCACCGGAGCTGCTCCAGTAAGTAAGTATTCCATCCACTCTTATGTGATTTTTTCCTAATCCATGAAATGCTCTGAATACGTGAAATTACTGTGTTGAAATTGAAATGAGTTGATAGAATGAGATAGTGGTGAGCGCGAGGATGAGAGTAGACGAAGGCGAGGTTGGTGATGGTGATTGGTGGATTAAGTCCGAACAATGGCGGAATCATCGACTAGATTACGAACGGCGCAAGCTGTAAGCGACGAATGAAGGGAGGCCGAAACTGTATTGCTTTGGTGGTAGTGAGTAGGAGGTGGCTGCGTCGTTGTTGAAGGTCGGAGAAGGTGGAGATTGCGGCTATGGTGTAAAGAAGGGAGGAAGCGGGTCCTCTTTGATAAGAATTTGAAGAGTTACAGCTTCAAACAATAAACCCTAATTTTTGCATTTTTATTATTGTTTTTTTTTGTTTTTTTTAATTCAGAAGGAAAGTAATAAGAAATAATGTTGAATCAATTTGGGTTTAGTGTTTGTTTGTAAATGGCCCGATATGTACCTAACCTTAATCCCAATGGCATAGTTTTTGGAAGCATTAAATAATTGAACAAAAACAATGTAAATGGACCGAAGCATTCTTCTCGCTAAGGCCCGTTTTAATTCCTGAAGTTCATTGTACAAAAAAACTGATTGTGGACTTATTTTCTGAACCGGGCTCAGATATTGTTGGCTTACACCTCTTGCCTCTAGCTTGCACCCCTGGGTTTCTCTATGTTTTTTCTTTCAATTTCATTAATTGTGTCCATTTCTTTGAATTTTCTCCATATGACAAAAATTATAAAATCAATAAAATTTGTTAGTTTCTCTTGATCGATTTTAAGAAATAATTATTTAGTTTTTGATATAATTTCCCTCACATAAAAAACTAATAAAAATACTATTTCTTTTAGTTTTTTCCATATTTTTGTACCGTTGTGCCTCATTATTTCTGACGCGTTTGTTCGTTGTGCAAGGTACATTTTTTATGCTTTCGATCATGTAACATAATAGGTTGTTATGTGATCAAAGCACATGGATTATGCTCGCTTCTGATGCGACACGCCTTATTTCCCATCGTCCTGAGAAATTCATATCATATTATATGTTGTTCTGTTACATGTGTTATTTTATGGGACTTTGTACAGGAACTTCTGGTTACGCATTGCATTCATGACACGTGTTTGCCTTTATCTTAGTTGGATATTGTTTATGACTTTGTTTGTTTCTTGGTGAAGCTTGCTCGACGCATTTTACCAGCTTCTCTAGCGCTTTCGTCTGCTCTTGACGACTTGCTCGATTTGGTAGCCTCCTCCACCACCCTTGTAATTCTTCGCACTTTATTGCATTTCGTTATCTCTTTCTATATACCATGAGAAGTAGGAAATAAAGAATGTGCGCTCGAAGTCGCTGTTTAAAGACCTGTAGCAGGTATTCCGCACTTCATTTTCTATATGTGTTGTGCTTGTGTTTGTTTACTTTCTTGTTGATCGATGAGTCACTCAATTTATAAATTGAGATCACGACTTCGCTCTTAGTGCATGCTCCCTATAGGATTTTGTCGCTTTCCTTTATTTCTTGTTGATCGATGAGTCACTCAATTTAGAAATTGAGATCACAACTTCGCTCTCATTGCATGTTCCCTATAAGATAGTTTTGTTAGACTTTCTTTGGAATGCTAACCTAGATAGAATCTCTTAAGGTGTGCTCTATTGAGCTTATTAGCTTTCTTGCTTTATCCGTGTACATACCATGTTCCCTTAGGATGTGCTTTCTCTGTTCGGATGCAAGTTAGACCTTAGGTTGCAAACCATGCAAGCTAACATTAGGTAGACGTTTCCATTTTATTAATCCAAACCTTAGGACTACCATTGCATGATAACATTAGGTTAGAAATAGGATAGTCTCCCTTAGACTCTTTTCTTCCCCCTTTTTGCATCCTTTCATCTAAAACAAACTTCTTTTCTTAGTAAATCAAAAACATGCTAATCATACTTAAACCCTTTTTCAAGGTAATAAAACACAAACCAATTCAAACCATTTTATGCGCTCGAGCACCTTTCCTCTAAAACCCTTTTCAGGTAAGGACATGATTAATTTACTTTTATGCCAACAATTAAGTCTCCAAAGGTCGAGCTGTGGCTGAAGGCGGAATTAACTTTGTCCATAAAAAATACAAACAAACAAAAACATATGAGCCGAACTACGGTAGCTCTAATTCCTCAAAAAGGATACGCAGACATTGGGGTAGAGCCCAAGCGAGCATAATTTTATTTTCCCTACATTCTTTTCCCCTTTCTTTTGCATGCATTCTCCCTTCAGTAGTATAATAAACAGTAAGCATAGTTTAAACACACCCATAAGATAGATAATAAGAGTGGATACCGTAGAGTACTACGGGCGTGTGGGGTGCTAATACCTTCCCCTCGCGTAACAGACTCCCTTACCCAATCTCTCGGTCGCAAGACTGTGACTTCTCCCTTCTCAGGTTTTCTCGATGTTTACCTTTCCCTCCATGTGGGATAAAAGACGTTCGATAGCGACTTCATTATTTGATGATTTTCAGCTGGTTATTTCAGATAATAAGACATTGGGACACAAAAATTCTATTCCCCTTGAGCCTTAACTTAAGTGGGTATGAACTCGTGCTCAGAGTCTCGTAATGCCTCACCCCTCCATCCTACCTATCATCATGGAGCCTGTTAACAAAGGATATGTTTCGTATACCGTCCTTTATCCTAACATGCCTACTTCTCTTGAAGATTTGCAAAAATACTGGATTCAGATAAAGGAAGAGCGAGACACCTTCGAAGCCCAATTCCACGCAAGTGAGAAGAAGGTTTTGGAGCTTACGAGACAACTTCATGAAGAGCGAAGTTTGAATGCCTACATTGCGCCAAAAAGGATACGCTTAACCTTTTTGTCTTAGGAGTTTATTTTGTGTTTATTTCCTCCATTGTAAGCCCAAGAGGAATGTTGTAATCCATTTGGACTTATTAATACAATGTTTGTTTCCTTTTGTCTACACAAATTTAAATCTCCTAGTTTCCTTGAAATCATTTGCATATGCATCTTCATTCATCATAACATAAACATGCTTTTCATAACAGGTTTCCTTATCTTTCTACTGTTTATTTCAGTAAGATGGATATCGAACAAACAGTAAAGGATCTTCAAGCAAAAAATGCTCAATTCCAATAGATGTTCCTGGCTCTTGCTAAAGGACCAGAGGACCTGAAGGCTCTCATGATCAAAGACAAGAAGAAGACGAAGAAAATGGTGGGTGTCCTGAATATGGGAATGAGGTTCAGAGAACCAGCAAAGTGAGCTCTAGAATTTGCAACTCCGTCAAATGAGGGAGACAATCAGGAAGAGAAGGCAAAGGAAGGAGACCACAGTCTGGGGTATGATAAAGAGGAGACTGACTATGTTGAAGAACAATATCCTCCTGCTGATGACAATTTAAACAACTGGAGTATCGTCTCAATGCCATGGGAATTCAGAGAGTACCTGATCTGGATTTTGAAGAACTAGGTTTGGTCCCTGGGGTGGTCATTCCACCAAAATTCAAAGTTCCCACATTTGCTAAATATAACAGTGTCTCCTATCCTAAGCTGCACTTAAAGTCAAATGTTAGGAAGATTCAACCCCATACTGCTGATAGGAACCTATGGGTACATTTCTTCTAAGAAAGTTTGTCAGGGACGCAGTTGGATTTGTTCTATTAGTTGGAAGGAACCAACATTCACAATTAGGAAGATCTGGTTTCTGCTTTTTACAAGTAGTACCAGTATAATGTTGACCTCGCTCCAACTCGTATGCAACTACAAAGTATGTCTATGGGTTCTGGCAAAGGTTTCAAAAAGTATGCCCAGCAATGGAGGGATATTACGAGAAGAGTCCATCCTCCTTTATCTGATAGAGAACTGGTGGATATGTTCTTGGGCACGTTGTCTGGTCATTCTTTAACCATATGATTGGAAGCTCTTCGGCTGGGTTTACTGAGCTGATCTTGACTGGTGAGCGGGTAGAAGTTGGTATTAAGAGTGGTAAGATTCAGTGGGATGCATCCTCAAGTACAATGAAGAAACCCTTTACTGGAAAGAAGGAGGTCATTGTTGCTTATGGCCAGAGAAATCAAAACAAAATTGAACATCGTCCAACGGTAGGGGTTGTTATGATCTCTAATCATGTATCAAATTAACAACGAAACAATCAACACAAGCCGAATGTGCCCATAAGACGGTTCACCCGGATCAACATGTCCTTGTCCCAGTTCTTGCCACACCTGTTGAAGTCCAATATGGTGATTCTGAAGGAAGCTCCCAAGAATCCCAATACTGCATCTCCTCTCTACAACCCAAACGCTCGATGTGCCTATCATTCCGAAAGTCCGGGGCATGATACAAACAATTGTTGGGCTCTGAAAAATAAGGTGCAGGATCTTATCGAGGCGAAAGATATTGAGTTTGACCTTCCAGAGACACCTAATGTAATAACTGCGCCAATGCCCAAACATGGCCAGGGTGTCAATGGTGTTGATGATGACCTATTTGTTTCCTTTGTGGATTAATTAACCACTCCTCTTCTGATTGTTAAAGAGAATATGTTGCAAGCCGATTTATTTTCAGGCTGTGGTGAAGGTTGCCACTTATGTATGTCTCTACTGCATGGTTGTTTGTCGTTAAAAATGGGTGTCCAACGCCTGATGATTAACAAAGAAATCATGTTTGAGAAAATTCCACTTGCAAGAAATTTGTGTGAAGTTGTCTCAATAATTACCATTTCCGAAAATCCTCCCAGGGTCTCCACCAAAAGGCCCGTCAGGATTACATCCGTTCCCAAGTTTTCTCCTCTGATTATCACTCTTCCCAGGTCGATACCATATTCATCTGATAAAGTTATTCCCTGGAATTATGGGGATGACGTCTACTACTATGGCATCAAGCAAGACCTATTGGATATTAAAGATAAAGTTGCCAAAGATATTGATCCAAACATCGACATCATCGTCGGGACTAGTAAAATTACGAGAAGCGGAAGGGTTTTCTCTCCCGAAATCTCTCTGAAGACTGTTTCTACTCCTTTGATTATTCATGATGCTACTCCTGTTAGTACTCCCATTGCTACTCCTACTGTTATCCCTTCTGTTATCCCTGCTATTGAGTCTGCCGAGACTCGGGGCAAAGAGGTATTGTT